AAAAAAAAAAAAAAAAAAACATAGCAAATAATGGGTAAGATAAAATGAAAGGAAGTAGCTACTCAGCTGCCGGAACAATTTTCACAAATAATTTGCACTTATTCCTAAAGCTTTTCTCCTTATCTCAGAAAGTAGGATTTGATGAAGGAAGCTAGAGAGTCATAGGTGGTTAGAGCAGGCCATGAGAGATAAGGGTTCTTTTCATTCTGTTAAATGGATTACAAGAATCTCTAGGACTGTGTTTCAGTCTGACTAGCTTTGGCCACCACCACTACTCAGGGAAATAATTACAGTGCTAAATGGGGCTGAAATAGTATTGGAGTCCTCCTGGATCTCTGCTTTTCTTCTCCTTTGGCTTGATCACTTCACTTCTGAAAACCCCACTCCTTCCCCCCACTTTCTTTTCCCAAGTTCTAGATTTGACTTACCTCTGGAACTGATGGAAGGAAAAATCACTAGAAAATATGGAAATTACCTGCAAAAGTAGGGTGTAAATTGTGAGAAATTCTCAAATATTTAGCAAAAAGGACTCAGTGAGGGAATAACAGGACAGAGGACGAATGAAAATTGTGGAGAAAATATAAATCGTGCTAATAAAGATTTTACTATATTTCAATAGCAAAAGTATTTACCTTCATTTTTGGAGGGTCAGAAATTAACTACCTTTCTTTTTTTTGAAACAGGAGCCTCAAGCTGTCCCCCTGGGTAGAGTGCCGTGGCATCTCAGCTCGCAGCAACCTCCAACTCCTGGGCTCAAGCGAGTCTTCTGCCTCTGCCTCCTAAGTAGCTGGGACCACAGGCGCCCGCCACAACGCCCGGCTATTTTTTGGTTGCAGCCGTCATTGTTGTTTGGCGGGCCCAGGCTGGATTCAAACTCACTACCTTAGGTGTATGTGGCTGGCGCCTTAGCCACTTGAGCCACAGGTGCCAAGCCACTACCTTTCTTACATGGATTTTCCAACTATAATTTCATTGATGGCAGGATTTTTTTTTCTCCAGAGTTGCTAATTTTCATATTAATATAAAAACAAAATTCTTACTTTTAACTTAGTTTCATTTTCTTCTTCTCAATTTCAGAACTCACTCACAATTGGATTATAAAGATTAAAAGTTGGCAGATGGTAGAATGTAAAAATCATAACTTAATTCATTTTTTCTTTTTCTCACATATGCTTACAAAGCATAAATGTATTAAAACTCTGGTGATTCAAGTGACGAATATATCTCATTCAATTATTTGGTGGGAAGTAAGAGAAAAATAAAGAAAAAAGTAAATATTTTAACATAAATAGTGAATATTTTCAATATTTTACAAAATAGATGCTAGATTTCATTCTCTTGAAGAAAGAAATTTGGCATTGTAAAGTTTCCGTGAAGTTCTTGAATTAACCAAGTCTCCACAGCAGTTATTTTCAGCAAGCTTACAAAAGAAGCCTAGTTTAAACCAACTTTGATTTAGATTTTGAGTCTCTTTACATACTTGAACTTATATGACTGCTGCTGTAAGTTCTTTTTAACTCATAATTATTTCATTATTTTCAATAATTGTGAGATTATTATCTTACCCTCCCCAGAAATTTGGAACATTAAAAAAAAAAATTGGCCAGGTGCAGTGGCTCACACCTGTAATCCTACTCTGGAAGGCCAAGGCAGGAGGATCATTTGAGCTGTGGAGTTTGAGACCAGACTGAGCAAAAGTGAGACCCCCATCTCTACTAAAAATAGAAAAAATTAGCTGGGCATTGTGGTGGGCACCTTCTAGCTACTTGGGAGACTGAGACAGGAGGATCACTTGAGCCTAGGACTTGGAGGCTGCTGTGAGTTATGATGATGCCACTTCACTCTACCTGGAGCAACAGAGCAAGACTCTGTCTCAAAACGAATTTTGTGATTTAATTTTTGGAGGCAGTAGATAAATGGTATCATTTTGCCACCAATAAAATGTAAACGGACAAATTATTCATTTAATTGTTAATAGATATAATTAACATTTATGACCAAATTTGCCATTTCTTCAATTCAGTGGTCCATTTTTTTTCTCCTGAGTACATTTGTCATTGGGAATAAAGTAAAATATCAAATTTTAAAAGTGGGAATTTGGCACCAGCCACATACACCTAAGGTGGCAGGTTTGAATCCAGCCCAGGCCTGCCAAATAACAATAATGGCTGCAACCAAAAAAATAGCCAGGCATTGTGGCGGGCACCTGTGGTCCCAGCTACTTGGGAGGCGGAGGCAGGAGACTCTCTTGAGCCCAGGAGTTGGAGGTTGCTGTTTGAGTTGTGATTCCATAGCACTCTACCCAGGGGGACAGCTTGTGGCTCTGTCTCAAAAAAAAAAAAAAAGTGGGAATTTAATTTGCAAAAAACATTTTTTATTATTATTACTATTGATGTTTAAATTGTCACAAAAAAGGAACATTTGCAAAATGAATATTCTAAAAACATTAGAGACTGTCAATTCCTAACTCTAGAACAGTTATAATAACATAACTATATAAACTAGTAACAAGTCAAATAATTTAGTATATACCTTTTTGTAAATTAGAACATTGGCATAAATGAAAAGACCAAGGCTCCCAGCCCTTTTCTTTTCTTTTCATAGTGATATCCTTACCCTTATCTGACTTTGATATGTAGGATGATTTTTACTTCTACTACAAAGCAAACTTAACAACACATTGTTATATTCATCTTTATTATTGTTTCTGTGGGCATACCACACACATTAATAGTACTACTAATGACAAACTTACGATGATACTTTTCTTACAAACCAAAGTTTGTATATTGTGATACAATATCACATCCAAAAGCTAAGATGCGATTACTCTATACCTAATGAAACTGTAGAACCTTAACATTTTTTTGGATGATTCCTTCTCATGCCCTTCTATCCTCTCACCTCTATCATACTCACAATGCAGGTGGTAAATGACACTTGGGAAGCAGTTCAAGTGTTCAAGAAGTTCAAGCATTGTTTATTAGGCAATTCTCCATAGCGTGAACAATAGGCACCTTGTTTCATACTTTTCTCATCATATGATGAATTAGTTCTTGCTTCTAGATATTCAGTTAATGACAAAGATTTTATTACCAGGCTAATTATTCCCCTTTGGAGATTAGGGCTGTTATAAGGTAACAGAAGGTGCAACTGGGAGAACCATCTTATGTCAATAACAAGCACTAGGCTCGGCGCCTGTGGCTCAAGCGGCTGAGATGCCAGCCACATACACCCAAGGTGGTGGATTTGAATCCATCCCGGGCCACCAAACAATAATGACAGCTGCAACCAAAATATAGCTGGGCGTTGTGGCAGGCGCCTGTGGTCCCAGCTACTTGGGAGGCTGAGGCAGGAGACTCACTTGAGCCCAGGAGTTGGAGGTTGCTGTGAGCTGTGATGCCATAGCACTCTACCCAGGGGGGACAGCTTGAGGCTCTGTCTTAAAAAAAAAATAATAATAATAACAAGCACTAACCTCTTTTTGTGTGATTATTACTTGGGAGTTAACCTCTTGTGACTAGTAATCAATTATATGATTATAGATTTTTATATCAACAAATACTGTGAAGGGTAAAACAAAGCTGCTACAAAAAGTCTTTTTGGTTATTGGATACTTTACTAGCAATGTGGCTTCTGTAGCAATTCTGACAGCAGGTAGCTGTGAAACCCTCAAGAAATCAGGATATGGGCATATGATTCTTTGTTTATTGAAAGATTACCAAGATATGAAAGATGACCCATAGGACAGCTGTATTGGACAGTCTACTCCAGGTTAAAAGAAAAAAGTTCCAAAGGACTACAGATACATTTTTTTCTATCAACAAAATAAATACAATTCCAGAAAATTTCTCAAGTAACTAGAGACTTAAAAAAAAAACAAAAAACTTAAGACCCAACTGTTTAACCTTGGAAAGGCTCTTAATTTTTTTAAATTCATGCTTGTAGACTTTTTTTTTTTGGTAGAAACATTGTCTCACTTTATTGCCCTCAATAGAGTGTCATAGCATCACACAGCT